CACTCCATCTTTCCCCTCCCTCCATCCTACCTCTCCCTCAAGCACCCCATTGTTCCCCTCCCTCAAACACATTGATATTCCTACCTCCTCTGTTTCTACAGTTTTTTCCCCCAAAGCTCCTTCCACACCTGTGTCCCCCACCCCAGCACTCCTCTCCCATCCCTGAACCTCCTCGGGGGCGGGGAAGTGGGCAAGAAGGTTCTGCTGTCTTTCCCCTCCCTCCATCCTACCTCTCCCTCAAGCACCCCATTGTTCCCCTCCCTCAAACACATTGATATTCCTACCTCCTCTGTTTCTACAGTTTTTTCCCCCAAAGCTCCTTCCACACCTGTGTCCCCCACCCCAGCACTCCTCTCCCATCCCTGAACCTCCTCGGGGGCGGGGAAGTGGGCAAGAAGGTTCTGCTGCTGAGCAGAGGGTTGGGATGAGTCTCTCACTGGGAGCTGGCTCAGCCCCCATATCTATGGCTGGGGTCCCCCTGCTCTGCACTCTCAGCCTGGGGCGCGCTGGGGAGCTTAGCCTGCGGCTGTCTCCCCCTTGCCCGCCAGGCCCCTTCTCTGCTGCGTGTCCCGCCAGGCCGAAAGCTGAGGAGATGCCGCCTCCTTCCATCCACAATTAGGCCCAGGAAGGAGAGGCAGCCTCTGAGCGACTCCAGAACACGGCCTGAGGCCGGACGTCCAAGCTTTGGCTCATGCGTCCTGGCATCGGGAGCTGTGGATGGTTAACGTCTCCGTGACTAACGCCCTGTTCGTTGCTTCTCCTTCCAGTGTTGAATCCCCCGTGTGACTGCATGAAAGATGAGCAGAATAATAAGACCTCCACCACCGGGATCATCATCGGGATCCACATTGGAGTGACGTGCATTATATTCTGTGTCCTTTTCCTCATGTTTGGGTACAGAGGAAGGTACGGGGGTCTCTCCCTGCACGGGCTGGGTCATACGCTAGCTACTCGTATTGTGTCGGTGGCTTTGCACGAGTGGTTCTCAAGCGGGTTGAAGGGTTCTTGGACTATTTAAGTCTCAACCCTATTGCGTGCGCTCGAAGGTCTCATGGACCGCCTCCGTGTGTGAGTCCACAGCCCATGCTATGGTCCCCCTTGTGACTCCTTCTATGGGTTGTGGTGAGCACTACCTGCCCCTCCGTGGGGTTGTATAACATGTGTCACCCATGGAGTAATCGCTATACCGGAGTGGGCAATAATTTTTGATGGAGTCACTCCAACATGTTGGTATGTGGGCAAGGGCTGCACTTTTCCATGGAGGAGGTGCGGGGTCTGGGATGGAGGCTGGGCACAGAAGGAAGCTCAGGGTGGGGGATTGGGCTGCAGGAGAGGGTAGGGGTCTGAGCGGGAGTTTGGGCGAAGGAGGGGGTTTGCAGCGTGCAAAGCTTCCCCATCCCTCCCCCTGGTGCAGGGAGGTCATATCTTGCCTGCCCCTGCACTGTACCTACGTTCTGATTTGGGATGTGAATGGTTAACCTGTTAACCTTTTAATCGCCATGTTTAACTATGGTTAACCGGGTAGCCAGTTGAATAAGATTTTACATCCTAGTTCTCATCAAAGCCCAGTTGAGTCAATGGGAATCTTTCCATTAGCTCCAAAGAGTCTTGGATTAGACCCGAAGCCCATAGGAGTTGTGGGCACTCACTTGATTGTAAGCAGAGCTGTGCCGTCCCCTCCAGCTGGAGGCCTTTGATGTTGATGCAACATCCTCCCGCCGCCCCCCAAACGCATGACATGGGGCAGCTCCTGAGGTGACACACGGGGAGGGGGAACCGCCACAGGGACGAGCACTTGGAAAACCGTGTCGGAGAAGTGGGTTCTAAGGAGGAGCGAGAGAGCGCGGCACACTCCTAGAGGTGGAGGCTGTTCCTGGTGCCCCGGGGAGCAGGGACGAAGATGAGAGGCGGAGACAAAGGCTAGAACGGAGACTCTGTCGGCCGGCTTGTCTCTGAACCTCGCTCCTGTTGCGGGAGGCTGGGTAGGAGCTGATTGTTCTCCTGTAAGATGTGCCTGGCGAGGTGCCCACAGGCCACGTGAAGAGGCGGCGTGCAGCACTGGGTGGTAGGGATGTTACATTTAGATTAATTGGCTAATTGAATAGTCGATGCAATTTGCATCGACTATTCGATGGGTCGATAAGGGCGCCTCCGCCTTTGTAGTGTAGCAGCAGCCCCAGGGTTAGGCGAAAGCGCCACGGGGAGCACGGGGCAGTGCCACATTGAGCCCGGAATCAGCGGGGGAGTCCCCAGTTGGCCCCAGGGTCCACACGGTGCTGCTGCTTTGAAGCATCCCTACCTCTTCCCCCCCCCCCCCCCGCTGCCTCTTTCCGATAGAGGCAGCGGGGGGTAGGGGGGGAAGAGCGACTACTCGACTACCGTGTCGACTATCCGATAAGCATTTGCTTCCCGGATAGTCAGCTAGTCGACCAGTCGTTCACATCCCTACTGGGTGGTCCTTCACTTTCAGTTTCCTCCTCTCTCGGTTTTCCAGACTGCTGATGTGTAAAAATGTCCAGGAACAGCTGTCGACCCCACAGATCCCGAGAAGTCAGAGGAACACCACGGGTCTGGTTCTGAACGGAGCGGCTCGGCGGGACAGGGACGATTTGGACACAAGCGGGAAGCAAGTGGAGATGAATGAACTGGAAAGGTTGTTTCCAGCTTTGCCTTCCCAGGATCAGCAGGATAAGGGAATACGGGTAAGGGTCCTGCCTTAATGTTCATCATGGGATTTACAGGCCCTCTCCCACTTCAAACACACCTGGCTGTGTTCAGAGACGTATACATTTAATTCCCTTCCCTGCGGTGAAAATATAAATCCACTAAGCACTAATGTTTAATGCGTTCCACGCTAGGAGAGAGTCAATCTTTGTCCCTCGGGGGTGGCTAGTTCATAGAAGAAGTTAAGAGTCTACTACAGCTGCTAGCTAGAGGAATTATTCTTTTATCTCAAGTGGTAGCAGCTTGTGCTTTTAGCACTGACAGTCTCAAGTTTGAACCCCACTGTCTGCCGAAACAGGGCCAGTCATGACTGTCCAAACAATCCTCATTCCTGGCACAGGGGTTAGAATTTAAACTGTTGATGTTACGGACATCTATGTAAGATGTGCATATTTGTTCCTGGACAAGCTGTATGATTTCTCAGAAGCCCAGCATCTTTGTAGCACTAGTAAAGTGCTAGATCGTCTTTGTACAGGTTGAACTTCTCAAAAGTGGGACTCTCTGGTCTGGCAACATCCATGTTCCTGAAACAGAGAGCCCCGAAGACTGGTGGCCGGAGGGTTGGTGACTGGGAGTCCTGGTGGGGCTGGGAACCTAGCTGGGGGCAGTGGGGCCTCCTCTGATCCACCTAACTCCCTCTTTTGGAATTAGTCAGTCCCAAAGGTGCCGGATCAGAGAGGTCCAACCTGCAACGGGATTTTTTTTTCTCCTCCCAGCCGGATCATGTCCCACCCGACTCACATGATGAGACCCAGATATCCACACTTCCACTGGATGAATTCAGCATGATAGAAGAGCAGCTTGACCCTTCCACCAGAAGTCTGGCTCCTGGTGACCAAGGTGGACTGCGACACAACTTTAACCAGGATGTCCCAGTTTTGAACCATAATCCCGCCAATGAAGGATAATTGCCAAGTCTTGAAGCCTCTTGTAGGACTCACCAAGAACCATTTCCATGTTTGGTGACGTCTTTACAATGATTCCTCGATCTCAGGTCAATTTAAGATTTCTACAGTCTGATTTTTTATGTGCTTTATTATTTCTTTTATATCAAGATACTGCTTTTTTGAGGCGCTATGAAGTTTATCTTTCTGACCTGTCTCAGGCCTCTCTGTGTATTTCTTCCTATAATTGCATGATCAAGGCTGGTCATGATGGGTTTTTTTTCCCATGGCTGCTCGGTATCAGACGTTACAAATTCTTCAGTTTCCATCAGTGATGGAACATGGTGGAGCCTGGTTCCCTTGGCATCCCTGACATGATCCTTATTAGCAGCTTTAGGACTACTTTGTGTTCGATTTTTTTATTTCAAGATGACTGGATTAAGATGAATCCTTCAAACTTGACTCCAAAAATTCAGGCCAGGAAAGGCCATCTCTCCATGGATTTGGTGATTTTGTACACTTTCTCTATTTCTCAGGATGATTTTTTGGTGATTGACTATAAATGTGCGGGGGGGAGGGGAGGGGAGGGGAAGTGTGTCAAAAGAGGCCTGCATAAGGGCCGCCGAAAGACTTGGACAAACAACCCGAGTAGACTCAGAACCTACCTCAACCAGAATGAATGTCTTCGGGGGAAGCAGCAAATATCTGTGTCTTCCTTTGTTTTCAAAACAAGTAGCGTAGCACTTGGTCTGCATAAGCTTGGTACTACCTCAGAAGTCATGCTCCATCTCTGCCATGGTGTTGTCATTTTTTTGTGTCGTCGTCATTCTAATGTAAAGCACTTCCAAACCTTGAAAGCAATGTTCTACCTCAAGTTTTATAGAGAAGCTCATTCGTTGGTGTCCTCAGACCTGCTCTTCTCCAGTGAAAACTGTTCAAAGAAAAACAAAAGGGCAGCGTGTTGGTGTTAAGTAGCGATTGTGGTGACATTTCATTAGTGTTCTAAGCTTTACATTTAGCCACGCTATTGTGCTTATGTTTGGTTTTATGTGTCAGAGTTGTATATGATGGTTCTACTTTAACAACTGCTAGAGTTGTAGCAGATATACCACCACTCATAACCTAAAGATAATCTTCACCTGCCACATTAGGACCCTGGAGTGCAGGTGAGCTGTTCCGATGGTTCCCATCTATATTGTAAGAATGGAGGCCTTGATCCCGGAAGAAAGTAAGGAGTCTGGGTTTGATCTAAGCATGTGTGGAAGTCTTTTGCTGAGTAAGGGTCAGAGTGCTGAGCTCTATGCAGGATCCAGCCCCAAGGGAATAACCAGTTTGTCTGGCTCCACTCTGACAGCCAGATAGATTAAAACTACCGAACCCATCCTTATGCACGTTCCTGTCCTTACTCAGAACCCTCATGTTCTGCCATTGGCTGTGTGGAATAACACGCTTCCAGCTGAGGTGATGGCACTTGTTGGATGCTGGAGAGGAGTGACCTTTCAGCCTCATTCCTCACACATCCAAGGAGGTGCCTGATTGTCTCACCCACACGCGACACATCCTCTGTCATGTGTTAAATGCCTCAGGGAAGTGCTTCGGGAAACAAAAGCGTAGGCTGAACAGTCTGCCCCCTTTTTCAGATGTTTCTAAAAGGTGCGTTGTCTTGATTAGCTTGATTGCCTTTCAGCCCCAGCGCATTACTCCTTTGCTTCGAATGATTCCATGTGCGACTTTTTCTGAAAAAGCCCGTCTGAGCGTTCCAGGTTCCAGCTGGCTTGCTGAGCTGCCTAGGCTAACGTTGCACCTTTCAAGGGAGAAAGATTGCCCACTGCAGTGGAATGGCCTCCCGACTTTCATTAACACCTTGCCAGGAAGAGCATTGGTGGTTTTGAAAGGAAAGGGGTATTTTTTTTTCATGCATATATATTTGATCAGTGTTTAGTCAGCCAGACTCCTATTAACTTCGGTGAGAGCTGTGTCTGGAAAAAGGCCCAAACAAGTCACTAAATGTCTGATTCTGCCTTGAATGATGCTAGTGCAGTCCTGATGGGTTAGTGCCAGACCTGACTCCACTGATTGCAACACCAGTGTCCTCACTTGCGCTGGGGTTGAATCTGGCTCGTTGTTATCAGGGAGGACACACACGACTAACAGAGAGTACAATCTGGCACATGCATCTCAGTGTATGCACTTCACCATTCCTCCTATGCCCTGTTAATCAGCCTATGTCTACACTATACCCTGGATCAATGTTCTGAGATTGATCCATCTGTGGTTGATTTAGTGGGTCTAGGTAAGACCCACCAAATCAACCACAGATCTCTGTGCAGTCAACCCCTCTACATTACCCCAAACGATAAACATAAGGGAAGTCAGCGGGAGAGTCCTCACTTCACCATTCCTCCTATGCCCTGTTAATCAGCCTATGTCTACACTATACCCTGGATCAATGTTCTGAGATTGATCCATCTGTGGTTGATTTAGTGGGTCTAGGTAAGACCCACCAAATCAACCACAGATCTCTGTGCAGTCAACCCCTCTACATTACCCCAAACGATAAACATAAGGGAAGTCAGCGGGAGAGTCCTTATGGTTATGGAACCTAAGATATGTCAACTCCAGCTATGTTATTCATGTAGCTGGAATTGTGTAGCCTAGGTCAACTTTCTGCACTTGTGTAGATGTAGCCTCAATCACCACTGTTGTAGCCTCCTCTCTTGGCCCTTGTCTAACGTACCCCTTGGAAAGCACAAAGCCTTTTAAAAACAGATTCCTTCTACCAGAAAAGGAGAAGGCCCACATTGTTCAAAGGCAGTTGATGGGTACATCCACGTTAGATGTCGTATTAAAAATGATTAAGGGAATGGTCATAAAGAGAGCCTCCAGCAGCTATGAAATTATCACTTGGACGTGCAGTGGCTTTTTAATAGGAGGTTAGGGGAGGAATGCTATTTAGTCGAAGCATTAAAGAGCCAAGAGAGCTATGAATCTGGACCAGAGTTAGCAATGTAGTAGGGACTCAGCCTTTTTTAAAGATCACCTTTAAAACTCTATGTTAATCACCCTTTATTATGAACTAGAAGGTATCGGCACCCCAGGCCACGAAAGGTTCTGTTTGCTTAGCCACATGCTGTTTTGAATGGTAAAGCCTGAATTTAATTTGGAAGGCTGGGAAAAAAGCGACGGTTCAAAGTGTCCACAGCCGCCGTTTGCACAGTGCCGCAGAGCTAGCTGTGTCCCCATCCCCTCTAGAATTGGCCGCGTGGCACCAGCGTGGCTACTGGCAGCATCCCCATGCTCCTAACGTGGCCTCAGGCATGGAGCAATTCCTTCTGGCAGCTTATCTTTAGGCTATTGGTGGTGGTAACGGTTGTAGACTTCATGAAGCCTTAGAATCTAGTATAGTCAATAGGTGCATGTTGCTGGTGACCCCACCTCAGGACAAGGGGTCAAGCAACCTGGTGGCATTGAAACATCTGTATGGTGATGCTGAAGAAAACCCAGCTCCCAGCTGTAAACATTCAGGGCAGCCGTTTTAAGACGCTTATTTTAAAAATATTTTTATACAGGGGTGGTGAATCCGAGGTAACGTTTTTCACTTTTCTTCGGAAGTGAAAAGGAATCAGGAAAGGAAACTCGTTTCAGTAAAGAATGAACTGTATTGCCTTTAAAGAAAAAGAGTTCTCCATCTTCAGTACCTGTGGACTAGTCTAGTATGTATCAGCAACATGCTTATCAGCCCTTCTTAACTAACTCTGCCCTTTGGCGTTTGAGTACTAAAAAGAATTGCCATACAAGATCCAGCACAGTGAGCAGAAATATGGCGCCCATTTCCTTCCCCCTCATTTACTCCTCATGAGCGACAGAGCTGAGGGGGAGGGTCTGATTGACCTGCCTGGCATGAGCAGATGCAATCCCACTGACATCAATTAAATTGAGCAATATGCCCCAGTGGCGAATAGGAGCCCATGGTTACAAGTGTCCTGGCCATTTATAAGTCCTCTTGTCCTACCTACATGGTGTCTTTTGTTTTGTTTTGCAAGATTGGAGGGACTTTAAAGGGACAGATGTGTACATTAACGCACCCACAAATGCTCTAACCCAGCTAATCAAGCAGCGGCTAAATATGACCTCCGAGAGGTTCCTGCTCAAGCTTTTACGATATCCTGGGGGAGGGTTTTTTTCCCTCTTTCTAAATTTCTGAATTTCTTAAGTAACCAGCTCGCTCTCAGCTTGCAAACTGCCGCTTTAAGCCAGAACATCTATGCTCTTAGGCCCTGTGGTTGCTTGAATACAGGTTATTGTGGCTCAGCTGGGGATGTCTAGCCATCCAAGAAAAGTTTGCCTTGCTGGAGCCAGTTTATGCCAGTGTTTGGAAAGGCAAAGGGGTGGGGAATGGAGGTGTAGGGTGACTGTAGGGTGACTGTGGAGTGGAGGGAATATTGCATTATACGCTGTATTGAAGGAGTACGGTTAATGTGTATGACTAAAAGCCAAGGAAAGGGTTAACGTTAATGGTTTGAAGGGCTTGATACTCATGTGTCTCTTTTTATTGTAATCAAAACAAGAGTCGGCGTCTAAGATATGAAGTGTCCATTAGAGAAAGCTCATACTGCAAGATCTGAATTTCAAACCCTTCAAAGCTTGATCTTCAGAGCTGGGAATTTTGGTGAGGGTGCATCTCTAAGACTTGGAGTACTCACTTAACATCTCCAGAAGCATGCCACATGCACAGCGAGAGTATTACTTAGTTTACAATTGAATACCAGAAGGAAGGAAAAAGAAAATGAAGATCTATTTCCTCGTACATTGATATCAAAGAGAACTCAGACCCTCTCATCTGTACTCTTGTTTTTATTGTCTCTGTGTGTTATGACGTTCAGATTGAATAAAGTACTTTTGCCAAAGTGAACACATAATTTAGACTAGCTTTCGGCTCAAAATACCCGAGGCTGTGAACCTGTTATTAGTTTAATATCACATTATTGTGATATTGTAATAGTAATACATATTTGTCACTACTTCCTTTTATTAAAGGGAAATGCTGTGCCATTTGATTAGTTGAAATACAGTAGTATGTCAAGAGTAGATTTTTTTCTAAGATGCAGAAATGAACTGATGTTGATTATCTATTGGTTTGAGAGAGTAAAAGATATATGTGAACCTTTAAAGATTATTTTTAGATATTTAGGTTTTCCTCTCTTTGGGGTTTCTTTTAAGCTCTTGTAAATTCATAGCATTGCGAAATATCCATGGAAGTTTGTGATGGGCAAACCTCAAAAGGTGTATGGGTCCTTTCTGGAGAATTACGAAGGGGACGTTATCCTGCCTGAGTCTGCAACGCTGGACATGGAACCTTGCAACAGCAGGCATTGTCTTGTGTGTTTTTGAGTACCGTACACGATCATCCAGCTTCCAGTTAGATGGGAAATCACCCAAGGCACAGCTATCTCTTTGGCTCTTTGATGCCTGCATTTTTGATCCCAGCCTGAACAGAGCAGCACAGACCTGAGCAAAAAATAAACCAAAATGTTGGGAAAACACCAATTGAACTTTTTCAAGTCTCCAAAGATGCTGAATTTAGGTTTAGCTCAAGCGCTGGGCACAGATTCAGGTCAGTTCTTGATTTGCCCAAAGAGGTTCACCCATCTCTGATAAAAAACCTGAAGAACACGGTCCAGCTTGGAAGTGAAACCCGTGTGGTGTTCGAGGCTCTTCAGACTTATATGCCATCGATTTAGATGGAGTTTTACAAGGTGTTTAAGGGCAAATGTGGGTGTAAGGTCTTCAAGAGATTTTACTCCACCTTCATATAATATGGTGCCCAGTCACAAGGATCTGATTTAAGGTCAGGGCATGGGATGTTGACTTAAACAAATCTATTTACGTTTCAGAAAGGTTACTGGATATTTGCTAAAGTGGTCTTCCTATCATTCCAGGAAATGCGAGCCAGCACAAACCTCTTGTTTCCATATGCCAGTGATTCCATGTTATAAAGAACGCTTTATTTGTCCAGCCGTGCTGATTTACTTGTTCAAGTTAAGAGTGCAGCAAATGGTGGCTGCCTTGTGTACCGCACATGTGACGTTGGGAGTCATTCCTGTGCAGGGGGTGAGACCTGAAGTCATCAGCCAGTGCTCTATGTGCGATCCAGAATATCCTGCATCCAAAAGGATGTTGTGTGTCAGTGGTGTCCAGGAGCTGTGGCCAGGTTCCCAGGAGGTGCCGATGGCCAGAGCATCTTTAATTTCAATAGCGTCACAACTTTTTACACCTCCTGAGACTCTAGCCCCAGGCCTTGACAAATGTGAGCACTGACGAAATGGGAAATGTTTGCCTTTGGAACAGCCTGGTCCCATCTGTCCTGAAAAGCATTTGGATTGACAAATGGACTTGAGTTTACCTGGCTGGGCTTCCTAAACCACACAATGGGCCTGTGAGGAACAGGCCCGTGTTATTGTCTACACGAGACTTCTGCTTGACTTGGACTTCAGCATCAGGGCACTGTCTTTCCCTCCATAAGATATGGCAGATAATAGTGGCATTTGCACATGTGAATGCACCGATGGAGGTAAAATCTTTGTGTTCTTTGCTGTACCTGATCTTGAGGACCTGACATCAAGATGGGGGTGTCTGAAGAGTAATTAAACGCTTCCATCCCATGCCATTGCGCTTTTCCCTGATGACTTATTCATGGAGCTCACGCATTATAAAA